TCGGCCACGGTCGTAATGGGGGTGTTGCGCCAGACGCGTCAGGCTGCTCCTTCCAGTTTCTCCACGTCAAGCTGACGGTGTTCGCGCTGGAAGCATTGATGAAAAGACAGCCTCAGTTTCAAGGGACAAATGGCAGCGAACGTGAAAAGGACGTCCAGACCCAAGGCAATGGGTGTCAACATGATGAACCTCGACGGACGCCGATAATAGAGAGGATTGTGCGCGCTCTTCAAGCGCGCCGCCACACCTGGAGTCTTTGCAAAGAGACCGCGAGCATATCCAAGGAAAATAGACATGATGATGTTGACAGCGGAAGAATCGGAAATGCCGGGCCGTTCCTTGCGCAACTATTCATCTGGGACCCATTTCAGTCTTAGTCTACAACATATCTAGTCCAACAGCATTGCTGAGAAGGCAAGGTATTCCAGGTGCACTACCAAGCCATATTATCCCGCGTTCACCACATAGATCCTGCATTGAAAGCTAATTAATACAGAGTTTGTGCATTTGGTATGAATCAGTTACCTCACTCTCGGATTCCGACTAGTTATCGAACATCCAAGGACGTGCGCCACTCTGAATGAAGGCCGTCACATCAAATCCGTCTTCAGAAAAGTATCGAGAAGCGCTGAATTGCTGGCTGCCCGGCTGTTCCGAATGGAAAAGACGCGTCTGAGCATCGAATTGATAGTTGTGGTCTATCCAATCGGACTCGGGCTGGGGCCATGGACTGTGTTGTGATGCGTCTTTGTCGTGCTGAGGCTCGGGCGCCGAACGAACAAGCGTGGGCGATGTACCGAGGAAATCCTCAGCAACGTTGCCTCGGATATTGGATGTGGGGAAAGCGACGCGGGTCGGGGGCGTGTCCTCTATTGAGATCGACGCAACCCTGTGGGCCTTGTCCATCTCTGAGCGAGCTTGAGCTGCCAACCTCACTAGCCGTTCTGAAGCAGCTTTGGAGTGCTCCCCATCAGCTCGGGCATATAAATGAAGGGCAGACTGCATGCTTTCGTAGGCGGCAGGCGCCAACGGATGTCTCGGCGCCCCAATCACAAACACAGCCTGACACACTGCCGCTGTAAAGGAGTGAAATATCCAGTACCACATGCGGGAAAACAATCTCGGATGTCGAGCAAAGAGCCCCCGAGCAACATTTATCATCGCGCGAGCAGCCTGTCAAGATCAGCATTCATAATAGACAGTATCGCTGCGCTTACATTCGTCAAACTTTCGACGCTCTGCTTATATTTTGAAGATACTAGATTCCTTCCCCCGAGCATCAAAGCGCGGCAGAATGGCCCACGATGCAGATCGAGTATAGCCAAGAAGCACATATTAGCCAGCGAAGCGATCTGAGCGTCCCGTCGCATTTGCAAGCCGTCTTTCGCCGGCCTGAGCTCGTCAGGTGATGGCAACGCAGTCACGGGGTGCTCAACCGCTTCGCAGATGGCCCAGCCGGGGAGCGAGGCATAGTACGACTGGACATCCCGATCCATGTCCAACACAACCTCATAAGTCGGAGTTTGACGGGCATTGAACACAGTGTCAACGATTCGGCCCAGGAGTAGCGCAAAACGGAATTTTAGGGTGTGCCATTTCAGATGTGAAAAAACGCGATCTTCCGGGTCGGTATCAGACGGAAGCGGGGTGTCGCATGTCTGGGGCATCTCGCAGTTGTCTGACAGTTGCATCAGAACCGATTGGACGGTCACAGCTGGTATCACCCACGATGTGCATCGCTCAACGCATACGGCCGCCCGAGCGTGAACGACTGCAGCCGATCAAAGACTAGGGTTTCCCAGAAGACCCTCCTCCTCTCCTCGGCTTCGCGAGGCGGCAGTCCCCAGCTGGAGTCGTCCCGGTGACACTCCTGTGCCACAATGGAGCGCATGGCTAAGCCCAATGCTTGCCACGCTGAGTCCCCACCCTCTTCCCCGCGCATGCATAAGAACCAGAGAGCCATCAGATGCAAGGTCTGCGCAGCAGAGATCGAGTCGAAATTGACCGGAAACCTGAGGTCTAAGGCCGACAACGCAACCGCGTATAGCTCAGCTGATCGCGGTTGAACCTCGGCAATTGGAAGCGCCAAGTCAAACAGCGCCCCAATGGCCAGCACCATGGCAAATAACGAAAGGACATGCAGATTTGACGGAATGCAGGCCGCACGAAGTGGGTCCATGTAGATGGTAGGGAAATGGACAGTGAAGAATATGTCTTCGGGAACGACCTCGTACCTGGGTAAGAGCAATGGTGAGCACGGTGAAGTGAGTCAGAAAGGAATCGAGCGAACATGAACGACGCGTTGGAAAAGTACAGATGCGCGAGGCGATGTGCTTCGTCATATGCAGGGAGCAACGCCATTCGCGACACCAATTCGGAGGGCAACAGATGCTCGTCTTGGGACTGCTCGGACGTGAAGAGAGACGGATTTTGAGAGGACGAAAGTGGCTTACAGTGGCATTCTGGTCCTGCGACCCAGAATAGTTATGCATGTGCCGCGGAGCATTCCTCCACAAGTCGGGGTACGCGGCGCCGCTGGTTGCGCTCACATATCGTGGGCGATTCTCCACGTCAATTGTCAGGGTGCCAATGCCCAATGTCACGTCGGCGGCGGAAGAATCGCGATCTTTGGATGCGGGCGGTTGTGCGTCCGAGAGCGAGGCAATACGTGGACGTTTTGCTCGGCCTTCGTTTTCTTGGGGTGGTGAGGGTAAACGGAAGGTCGGAGCATCAGCCAGGACCGACGCGGTGGGCGGAATGCTGACGCCGGCCCTACATCGGACGTTGCTGTCATGATGACACAGAAGGGGAAGGAGGAGTGACGACGCACGCAGCCAACGCATCCTCCAACTCCTTGATCCTTTTCCCCATCGCATTGTCCCGTGCGAGGAACATCGCCACCTCGGAGTGCTCAATCTCCACCCCAGGTTTGACCGACGGCAAAGACTGCTCTAGCCGCTTCAAGAATCCACGTTTGCCCTTCTCGAGCGTTCCGGTCGGACATAGGTTCGCGCAGCCTCGTCGTATGCAGGACGAACAAGGGAATATTCGGTCGCAACTGGAAATGGAAGAGTGTGCCCGACGTTGAGCATGTCTATCGCGTACCCACACCCCGCACGAGATACGACCGACACGCACCGAAGCTTCAATCTCCTGCACTCCGCACATGACGACACTTGAGATTTCCGGGGGTTGGAATTGGCAGCGAACGATGCGGTGGAGGTACTGGGCTCGTCCATTAGCCTACTGGTCAACTCGGAATCACGTACGAACTTCTCACTTCTGCTCAACCGAGATGGCCGTCAACCCGCGGTCAACCTCCGTCAAACTCAGCCCTTCAGTCTGACACAATGCAAAACACTCCTGGGAGGCCTCGTTCCACTGTATTATAACTGTCTCTTAACGTCTGACGGGAGAGTTCCGATGGATGTTCGTAGTGCTGATGGTGGAGAAAAGTGCCAAGGGCTGGACAATTGTTCGTGCCATCAATCTCAATTTTGGACCCAAGACTGTAAAACGGTTGCATGCTCATGTTGGTGCCTCAAGATTCCGACCTAGATTTTGACGCTAACATAACAATTGTTGGGCACATGTCCGGAGATGATTAATGCTTCCCCGACAACCTTGACTTGTGCGCCTTCGGAGACTTTTTTGTTTCCACTGACCATTTACATTTCGTGAGGACATCAAGTGTCGGACTGGCGGCGATTGCGATAGTGAGGTGCTGGTAACATATGCAGAGGTTATTGTGTGAAACCGCAGTGCTTGAGAATAGAAGCATAGTTTCGCTGGTTCCAATCAGTCACTGCTTCACGGCGGTCGCATAAACGCACTCATACGCGGTGGTCTGCACAAGACTGTATCAGTAACGAAACTAAAACCTCTCGGGGAGCACCCACCTGCCGTGCACTGCACCCAGACAAGATATTATTCAGTTCACGTTCAAGGCGAGACGTAGAAATCCATTAAATACACGGTTTCGGCAGTACAACAGTCGGCAAGCATACAGCGGATCTGGATGTCGCTGCGCTCTACAATACGTCATGCGTCCAGAAAGCAGGCAAAGAGCAGATCATTGAGCATACCAAACAGTGGCCAAGCGAGACAAGAATAAGCAGTCATAGATGCGATGATGATGGATGGACTTGGGAACCAGGAACGCAGATTGGGCCGGGACGTGATTCAGTCAACATCCATCCGTCCACCATTTCCGCCGCGTTTTCCAGCACCTCGACGGTTACCGCGTCCGCGACCCGTTCCGCCTCGCTTCCACGACCCTCGACCACTGTTCCCCTGTGTGTATTCGGCTGGGTTGGCGCCAGGAGGGGCGACTAGAACTTGTGCAGCTCTCTCGTTCAACAGTGAGTCAGATCGCATTTTACTGACAGGGAATTAGTGCCACATCAACAACCAGCATCGCAATGGGATACACGCACGATCCGGTATCATTCGCAGATTCCATGAGAATATCCACGCTACCCTCCTGCCTTACTAAGCCCAGTCCGTCGGTTCCGCCTAATCGTCCTCCCAGACTGGTCGAAACACTGCCCACTACTGTCACCGACAACATCTTCCCATCGGCAGTTTGCTTGTCAAACTTTTTGACGGCAGCCTGGGCAGCAGAAGGGGTCTTGAAAGTGATGCGAATGGCAAGTTCCTTCCCGGGAAGAGAGGAAGCCTTTAAAATCTCCCCACAGCGTTTAAAGATAGCGACGACATCGTCTGCGGTTGTGCCTGAGGCGAGATTTTTGACTTCCACAACGTTTCCTTGGGATGCAGCGCTTGCTCCTCGGATGGAGAGCGGACTATCGGACGAGGAGGCGACTGCTTGGATGGCTCTGCCAACAATGCCATGATTCAGGTTTGCTTTCGGGGCGCCAGGGTTGATGTTCATACGGGCGGAGAGCGAATTATGGGTGTCGTACATGTCGTGCGTCCATTGTGTATCCGTATCTGGTCTGGGACCCGGTCGGTTCTCAGTGGCGATTGAGCTTGAGGAGTTGGAAGACGGGGCCAGAAAACCGACATACATAGGGGCTTGCTTTGTTCTTTTCGGCAAATTTCGAGCGGACAGGCCCGGTCCCACCGTTGGTGGATACATTCATGCGTTGAAGAAGAGATGCCATGAGCGAAGCAGGGAAGAGGTAATGTTTGGCCGATTGTTTGGCGCGTACACCTACGCGCTCTTTATTGATCAATGTATTGTAAGGTGCTTTCCATCGTACTAGGCACCGTCGACACTCCCCATGCCAGACGCAGGTAGATCGGGCTTGCTCATGAGTGTGCCAGTATAGGCTTGTCCACCGCTTCTTAAGGGTTCCTCGGATCTCCCCCTCTTCGCATGTCACGTCCACAACGCTATCTTCACGCGCTTGTTCGCGCCACATTCCTTCCGGCGACAAGTACATCGACATCGGAGGATTTCCAACTTCTCAGCTAGCTTTCACTGATGCAGGTTCTGGTGCCGAAATCTCATGTGGTCATCTGCTTGAATTGGCCCTCTCCTCCGAATGTGGTTCAAGAAATCAACTGCAGACGTCGCCGTTCCCTCAGTGCTATCTTCGGACACAATGTTGAACTACTCTCATCCAATCCACTCGGCTGACCACGACTGATCTTGAACAGCGAAGAAGGGGTTTCCGCCGTTCGCGCCAGGTTCACCCATTCCTGTCCCAGGATCCGCCATAGATGCGTGTGTTGTCGTGATATGCGATGTTTTGAACTGGGCAGGAGGCCCACTCCCTGAAATCCCTCCGGCAGCGCATGGCATGCTGACTGTGCGACTATTACTTCAGATAGGACGAGTAGAGAAGGTAGTGTCTTTTGATGGCTCACAGGCGAATGAATGCTACGGTTCGGTCAGTTTCTAGGATTTCATGTTTCATTGATTATCTCGCAAGCAGGTTTCTTTTCCAGGGCACCACAGGTAAACCTGAGATGCGCATTTTAGCGCCGCCACGGGTCTCTTTATGGCTCTCACCAAGAGGGTATCGAAGTACGGCGGAAAATATCCCACACCCCTGTCCGATCCTGAAGTAATTCAGACACATCCGAACATTGTCGCTCTCATGGACATGACTGGCCCAGGCTTTCTGAAACTTCGAGCAGACACACATAAGTTGATCGATGTTCTGCCGCTGTACCTCATCTATGCTCTGACCCGACTGCTTCACTACTCTTTTACTAGGGGATGCCCGATGGTCATCACGCATCGTTTCGACTCTGCGAGTTTCTACGTGGCAGCCGCATTGCAGTACAAGCTCATGATCTGTCTCGTTGTCCCTCCTATTCTGGTTGTTCCGGTCCGTCATCCGTGCCTGTGGCACACTCTTTTGTGTCGCATTGAATGACGAACTGGCGTAGTTATGGAAGAACACAAGCTAAGGAGCATCACAGTTCTCTTTTTGGGGCCGCGCCATCGTCCCCACATCTCTTCGAGGCTGCAAGTTGGATTCATGGCCAATCCCTTCCTTCTGAACCCGTCTCCTCAGGTCAGGCGGTGATTCACCAGAAAACAGCTTGGTCAGAACTTATTTCCAATCACTCAAGATTGGAATCCGCCCCAGCATTATTTGCCTAAACGCTCGATCACGCTCACCAGGTTACATTTGGACTGAGACGTCCCCAACGATTGCTTTGTTGCCCGTCGAAGATTCGGAACACAGGATCGACAGCACGGCCCCTGCTGCCGGATCTCGAGACGCGGTTGGTCAAAGGTGACGAGGGTTATTCAGATGTCACCCTGGTGAATTGTAGGTTCGCGGGACTACAGACGTGAAGGTATGGTGTCTTTGCCATGGCCTTGGGCTGGTGTCGCTGAGAGCAGCATAGGGGTATCTCAATAACTCGTCCGCCACCCAGCACGCCAGTACAGACGACTGATGGTTCAAGATCGGAGGCGTTACCATCCGAGACTCGGAGGGAATTTGCTTCATTGCTGTCAGACGCAAAGAATCGTTCCTGTACAAGGTGTGCGTGCGTGTAGTTTATAAGTTTACATCCGATTGTAGGGTTTTCAAAATCAAGCTCTGCCAGTACCTCAAACTGTTTGGCCCAAGTGCTGCGCTAGTCCCGCCAGCAGAACTGAGAAATATTCTCACGGACCAGTGCGAGATCGCAGATGCGCCGTCAATGGGCTCGAAAACGTCGAGGAAACGACAGAGTTACCCAGAACTTTTGTGGTTAGATCCTTGCCACGTACCAAGCGCAGCAGCGCAAAGAGGGTTCGCTCGTAGCGCTGTCTTGTGGGTCGAAGTGCGAGTCGCGAAACTTAACTTTCTTCGCGGAGGCGTCATGTTCTTTAATGACATTCTTGAGAGGTTTGAGATTTACTCTAGCCTTGATATCTTTAATCACTTTCAGCCCTTCTGGCAATATTTTACCTCGCGAGTCGAGGGAGCTCGCGAAAGAAGAGGTCGAAACAAAGGCATTGCAGATTCAAGCCGAAAGCCACACTGTGCATTGGACAGATATATATTTCGCAATGGTAAAGCGCAGCAGTAATCTAGAAGATGCAGTGAGTGATAAGATTGAGAGCGGACATTGAAGAATTCAGAAGTGTCAAGATTTGGAGCACGCCCCATGAAGGGTATTCACCATGAAGAAATTCAATAGAAATTGAAGGCATCAGAGACTAGAAACCGGATGAGATAGCTCACCTTGAAGTCGAAACCCATATCCAACGCAATGAACAACAAAGTTCCAACACAGCAAAAAATTGCAAGCCAAGCCGACCGAGAGTGAGCCCCATTGAGTTGAAGGCCTTGAGGAGCCAACAATCGTATAACTATGTCTATGAGGAACAAACTGCCAGTTCATCGAGCAGCCGCTGAGCGACGGCTGGCTCATATCTTCGCCAGTCGCGCCTTGACCAACGGTCACCTTCAGAGCATGCAACGGAGTGGAAAGGACGGAGGATGATGAGACGAAGAGCGATGACCATCCAAAGCGTTCCATCCACCCCTGCTAATTCCAACGAGCTTGGAGTTGGTCGCTTTCCGAATTTAAGCAGGGATATTCTCCGTTTCTCCGGGGACTTTCCCCACAGCGAATGAAGAGAGTAGCAACCCTCTGTGCGTATGCTGCGAAGACGATTCTTCGGACGGCCTGAATTCGAGAGAAAAAAACGATGGCATGCTTTATAGCTAGTGGGAGTTGTATAGACATGTTTGAGTTTGATGGGATTGATCGATCCATCACGGCACCCCACAAGCTGACCACTTACACGCACCGTTCATGGCAACTGATAGTCAAGCTAAGCAGAAATCGGCTCAGTCGAAACCGAGGGTGGTAAACACTTCTCATCGTTCCGTGAAGCATATTTCTTACGACTCTCAGGTCCCCCTTGCCAATTTCCCGACAATCAAAGTCATACAACCTCCGAAAGGTAGAGTGTACTGCATCGCTAGGATGGCCCGAATGCAACCTCATCTCATACAACTAGGGAAATTCTCTCCGAGAAATGATCAATGGTGCTTGACGTATTGCTCGCAAACCGTTGCTGGACGCACACAACACAAGCAACCTTTCTGCCGATCCATATGCATCCGCAAGGTCTTCACACACGAAGTGCAAAACATCCTCCAATTCAAGAGCCACACGGAGGTTGGACCTGATGGCAAAGCGCGTTTCCCACTGCCTCAAGAAGGCCAGCCCATCAATCTGCCTCGATATCTGGGCGGTAAACCTGTCGACGATCCAGAACACGATCGCAGGTTACCTTCAGACGTGAGGTACTGGGAAGAGGGTTGGTATCTGTGGAAGGCGAATGGTATCCCCGCCGTATACCACCAGCTTTCGCAGGTCGCGATGGATCTGCCTAGTCTGTTCAGAACGAGCGAGGCACGCAAGAATCAACAGCGGCTGCGACAGGAATACGACAAATACGTGGAGTCGGGTCGCCCGGAGGCGGAGAAGGAGAAGTGGACGGGGCAGGTTGTGCCGCCCAATCTCGGAGATCCTGCGTGAGTGCATTCCATTGCTCCCGTTCTCTGTCCTAACGATTGTGGCCCATCACAGACCCGACTCGTTGCTCATTCCTATCCCCTTCGATTCTGGCCCCTTGCTGGAACCCGTGTGGAATGTCCTTGCCCCAGCCCGTCACTCCGTCGACTTACTTCGCGAGAATCTCAAAGAGGGGAACTTCGAGAAGTTTGGACTCCGTGTGTGGGATAAGGCATGGTCGGGTGAACCGCTCATGCTTGCGAGTCGAGCTTGGAATCTTGCCTACGACCGGTGGAAGGGCAACGATAAGGATGATGAGAAGGGAAAGAAAGCATAGGACGATACCCGCCGCCGACGCCTTGTAGCATTAGACATTCATTTGGCATTACTTACACAGACATACTGCATAGACGCATGCACAGTAACATATTCACCTATCCTACACGCCCTACTCATGAATTTGTTCGCGGAGCCGCTCCCGCTGTTTCTCGTACTTTCGCTAAGCACGTGGCGCTTAGATGGCTTTGTCAGAGTAGTCCATTCTGACCACTCAAATATGCCGAGACCCCAAGTCGCGCTCTCTATAGCTCTCCACATCCACCGATCCCAACACAATGGCCAAAGCAAACGCACCCATTGAAATCCAAAGCGTCAAACACTGGAATGAGACGCTCCGCAGTGCCAACGCCGCCGGAATGACTACCGTCGTGGACTTCCACGCAACTTGGTGTGGGCCTTGTAAAGTACTTTGCTCAGTGCTCTTTCAAGTGGTCTCTCCGGGCGCTCAACCGTGTGCCTAGGCCATCGCCCCCAGATATGTCCAGCTTGCATCCGAGAACGATCATGTTCGATTCCTACGCGTGGACGTCGACGCACAGCGGGCACGTCTCCTCACTCGCTGTCTTGGAGATGCATCCTGACGGAGACTGCAGGCCATCGCGGCGAAATACAACATCTCCGCCATGCCGACCTTTTTGGCTCTGAAGCAGGGCCAGGTTTTGGAGACAGTCCGGGGCGCCGATCCGCAAGGCTTGGCGCGCATGATTGCGGTGCGCGGTGGACCGAATCCTCCGGTAGCTCCCTTACCAGCGGAGGCGGAAGCGGCCAAGGTGGCTGGAAATGTGCGGCACTGTCTTTGCACGCCTCCGTTCTTCTTACTGAACTGAAGGTCATTTTCGCGTAGGCTTTCTTCAAAGACGGCAAATATCCAGAGGCGATCGAGAAGTATTCGGAGGCGATCACCGTTGCACCGACGTCCGCCGCTCTGTATGCGAATCGCGCTGCGTCATATCTCAAATTAACGGATCCGGAACTGGACTTGGCGTTGGCAGATGCTCAGAAGGCGACAGAAGTAGAGCCTAAATGGGGCAAGGGGTATTATCGACTCGGAGAAGCCTTGCAAGCGTTAGGCAGAGACGAAGAAGCAGTCAAGGTGTTTGAGAATGCTGTAGAAACGTCGCAAGGATTGGTTCAAACGGAGGCGAAGCAAAAGCTGGGGGAGTTGAAGAAGAAACTGGGCTGGCATTGAGCGCCTAAGTATTCCTTCTCTGAGACCTTCCTCATTTGGAGCATCGGTGTTGCAGACAAGTTTCATGTAATCGATCCTTGGTAACAGCGTTTTCTACTGTATTTACGTATTCCGAAGCCGATCGGACATCCATCAAGTGTGAGAGACGGTGACAGAGGACGAAGAGCTGGATGCAGAAGTGAGAACCTTCCCGTTCTGCTCCATGTTGATGAGGACTGATCCGGACGGGCCCATGGTCTTGCCGGCTTGGGTGGTAGCAGAGGCTCCGGTGAAGGTGACGGTCCCAAAGTTGGCAAGGGGCACGAGACTGTTGCCCTCCTCGAAGTCCTCGACGATCCATTCGGCGTTCTGCAGGCAGAGCTTGGCCGAGGAGGTCAGGGCCTTGGAGACAGTCTACGGGTACGGAGAGTGGCATGAACAAGCCGGACAAATCGTGAGATTGGAAGCGACGTACGACACCAGTGGAGACATTCTCGATAGTGACTGTGCCCGAGGTGGTGCTGCTGGCGGTGGCAGTAAGCTTGATGGTGTTTCCCGCGGAGATCTTCGGCCTGTCAGCGACTGATTCCGCAGTCAGGGCAAAGGAGACGCACGGGGATGTTCGTAAAGTCGGTGGCAAAGGCGGGGAAGTATTCAAACCACGCATCGTAAGAGACTCTCCCGTTGACCACGTTGAAGTCAATTCCCTGTTTCAAGTCGTTGGCACCGGGACACAGCAACAGCGACAAATACCACATACGGTTTGGAGAATGGCTTCGGGACTTGCCGTCAGAGTCAGGTGGAGAAGATAAAGTTGATCTGCTCACCGGTCCCGCAGGTGTCGCCGTCGATTCCAACCCAAGCAGACGCGGAGAAACTGCCGGTTCCGCCGCTGGGAGCCTTGGGGGTAGGCACAACAAAGGTGCCCGTGACCGATTTGAAAGTACCCTCAAGTCAAATGTTAAATGGGCGAAGCTGATCGAGAGGGTGGAGCCAACCGCTGGAGACTCGAAAACAGCACCAGACCAGTTGGAGCTGACTTCCGCGTGGGTCGTGTTGCCGGCCAGGGCGGACAGTCCGCTGCCGGGCTGGCGAAGACCACTGCGGCGAGCGACACGCTGAGCAAGACGGCTCGAAGAGCTCGGGAGCGCGACAGCAACCGTAGCGAGCAGAGCGTAGGTGAAGAGGGCAGCGAACATTGCGAGGGCTGTGAGTTGAATCCGGAGGGACCTGGTCTACACCCCAAGAATCTTCAACGTTTTATAGAGCTGGTGCATAGGCTCAAAAAAAGTTATGTTGTCCTTGAAATCATGTCTGCATGCGGATACTCAGAGCAGTGAGAGATTCAGTCCAAGTAAGGAAAACATTCCCGCGGTGGTTATCTAGAAGTCGGACTTTGGAGACCCGGATAGCCGGCACTTGAACTGGGTAGCAGATATTGACTCGAGAAACAGCACGGAAACATAGAGAGGAACCATTGGCTGGAGTTGAGTCGGAAACAACCAAAAGCGAGTCATTGGGTGGAAGTGTGGCCCTACAATCGGGCCAGCGCTACGCAGTCTCCGGAGATTCTACGGGTGACAAGCGGATTGAACGCGTGGAATTCCGACGATGCCAGTGTCGGCGCGGTCAGATGAAGCGGGTGCCATGCAGAAAGATAGCTCAGGTTCAATTTTAGGTCGCGATAACCGATACATTTGCTTCGTCGCACGCGCTATAATCAACACCTGGGCAGAGAGAAAGAGTTCTCGATCCAAACGCTTCCCCGGATAGGAGGTACCGGCTTGGTGCAACACGCGCAGGAGATATGGAGAAGGAGGCTTCATTCAGATTTGCGGTGAGAAAAGATGTCGCCATCCGCGTCCAATGAGTCGCAATGGATTTTCGGGTCGTCTGTTGACTTGATAGAGCACGAGCCAAGCTGAAAGCCGCTTCAGAGTGAACGACAAGTGACTCTCAAGCTGAATGCCGCGGGAGTTTGTTGACGCTGACAGTGGCCTTGATGGCGATCACTGATGATGGTGGTTAGATCCAAGACCTTTCCCACCTCCGTCTCATAGCAGACATTCTCTTTCTCGGAGAACGCAGGCCGTCTTTTACTCTCGTACACTGCACCACATAAAAAAGAAAATTCAAAGAATATATGGGAGTTCTCGGCTTAAGCACATACCTCCGGGAGAACCGTCGGCTATCTGAGGCACATCGGCTCGATACTCGTGAGCTGCTTGCAGATCGAATCAAGATTGTCGTGGATGGATGGTCGTGAGTAGCGCAAATGGACATACACACGAGTTGGTCAATAACTACTATCCGAAGCTTTATCTACGATCTTTACCGATCCTCAGGTCTGCCCTGGGTATATGGCGGGGAATACGCAGCCTTCGGCCGGCTTGTGAGAACGGTTGTGGAGGCTTGGGTCAGGGTCGGCCTCGAGGTCTCGTTTGTTTTCGATGGTTTGACTATTTGTCTGTCGAAGCGTTCTCTGATCTCAAAATCTTGAAGGACCTTGCCCAGAACTCAAGTTTCCGACCGTTGTATCTCGCCTCACTCAAACCAACGTGACGAATGCGCTTGTTTTCTTCCGAACATCCTCCTCGTCGAGAGCGAACTCTCGCTTTCTCCATGAGTCTCGCATCATCCCTCCGCTCGTGTATACGGCTTGCATTGAGTGTTTGAACACACTCCCCTCCTCCATAAACGATCACGTTTTCGTCCATTACGCCGACGAAGAGGGCGATCCCTATGCGGTCGAATTGGCGGGTCGCATCGGCGCCTTCGTTGCCGGCTCAGATTCCGACTTTGTCATCTTGAATGCGCCAGGATATCGAGGCTACATTCCCCTCGATGAGATGATCTGGAGTGCGGCCGAGGCAGAGGAAGCGGTTGCGCAAGATGACGACTTCCAACCAGTGCGTAAACCGAAATCGCATAAAAGAGCTTTCGTGACCTCTGGCCGCGGTCTTGTTCCACCAGCCGATCTGAAGGGGCTCTCGTTGGCCTTCACGTCCTACAGTCCCACTACCCTGGCAGCTCATCTGAACTTGCCCATCACCCTGCTGCCCTTGATGGGTGCCTTGGTCGGCAATGACCTGTCGAACAGCTCCTCGTCATCGGGCAAGAACGTGCAGCTCTTGTTTTTCGAACGGGGGATGTCTCACGCTCAACGCATCACACGTGTGACGGCGACCATCAACTCCATCCTCTCTGCATCCTCTCTGAAGGGCAAGCAGGAGGTGGAGGGCGTGATGGATCTCATCGACAAAACGGTGACGGCGCTTCTCATCCGCTCTATCTCCACAATGGGCTCGGGCGAAGTCGAGAAAGTCGTAGACAGGATTGTGGAAGCCACACTCCAGTATGCTCTGCACAAGAGCCTCGATGATAGCAAGGCGCTGTGGCCGACCTCGATCTGCGCATTGCACTTGCCAGAAGTCTGTCCTATTCTGCCAATGATGTCCCGGATGGAACGATATGACATCAGAGAGGCCTATCTCCAGGCTTATAGACGCGGATGTCTCAATCCCAAGATTCTTGATCTGCTGCAAACTGGCACGTCCTGGCCGAGATTATTTCTCGAAGTCCCCGACTTGGAGACTGTCAGCCGAGCGCTCGGACGCCCGATCAGGCAATGGGGATATGCTATCCTGCACGACGCTTTGGGGCTGCCGTGTCCAGAAGCAGACTTAGATGAGCAGACTATCGGAACCGATGCCGAAGCAGTCGACGAAGACGACGAAGAGGAACTCGTTGATGTCGTTGAAAGCGACTCGGACGAAGAGTCTACGTCTCCTGACCTTCTTGCACCTCTTCGCGGTGCTTTGCAGAGTCTCCAAGTGCCGGAGGATGCAGAATCCCATATCTCCGATGATCGAATACCCGTTGTCACCGAGTTTCTGCGCCGTGGAACCAGAATCGCGGAAGAGCCGGTGGCCGTGCCGATGATCTCTGATCTCCTCGCTTCGATCAGCTGTTCCGCTCCCGGGCCCGTGGCTTGTCAATCTGAAGCACAGCGTTTGACTGTGCTACTGCGCGCCCTCCGCTCTGACTCGGATGCGGTGCGAACATTGCCTCGGAGACAGTTGGGAGCAGCTGTCTGTCTGCGTTGGATCATCATGACATTGCACGAGCGAGCTTCGGAAAGCAAGGACCGTGACAAGGAGCGCTGGACCCGCCGCGAGGCTCTCTGCTTCCTTGCTGCACATGAGCTGGATTCCGATCCTTCGGAGTCGGACAACTCGCCCGAACTGTTGGATCGCAATATCCAGTTGACAGCACAGGCGCTTACTTGCATCGAAGCAGTGGATCAATTATCGCAGATCCTGCTCATAAGCCATCTTCTGCCGTCCATAGCGCCCACATTTTCGGGCATGGCATTCCACCGTCGTTTGACGGGAGTGGCTCCCCCGACTGTGTCACAGCCTCTATCAGACGCTTGTCTTGTTGATCTTTCATATGCCCTTGCGGACGAACGCAAGAAGAAAATCAGGAAGACGAAAGGTTCTGGTCGGAGCGCCTCTGTTCCTGCAAACCCAGCAACTGGTCTATTTGGATTGTTGGCAAACGCGGACGCGTAATTGTATTAGTTGGTATCTGATTTGTAATTATGATCTGAACGAGGCAGAGCGCCCAGCCTTGTGTCAGCACTGACTCTTCGCGATGATCAATGAGTGCTGGAGCGCCAACCTGTGAAATGCTGTCCCACTCAATCCTGTCATGCAACACATATATATGCCCCTACATGTATGACCTTATGCCATCTTCTCGCACTCAATGGCCGCCATTGCTAACCGTACCAAAAACACGACACCTACGCTCCCTGACTACATCACATACCGCTTTGCAAAGCGCTTAGTGTACGTGAAGCCTGCTGAGACCTACGAGGTGCGTTAGCTTTCGTCTGGTCGTGTTCTTTGTGTGATTGACTGTTGCATGTCCAGACCGCAGTTGACCTTGCTCAGAAAGAGTTTGCGGAGCTCAGAGACATTCCCCGGGAACTAATATCGTTCAACACCGTATTCAATGCCAAGAATGATCCGCGCCTCGTTCGCATCTCGGAGAGCGCCTGGCTGGGTGCTGTGGCGAAACAGTTTTGCGGCGCGGTCATAGACGTCATCGTAGTGCCCGATCCCAATGCTCCACCGACATACCTCGCTGTCCCGACAGATCCGGTGCATGAAGAGATGGAAACTTGGCGTAAATCGCTTTCAGCGTCCGGTTCGCCCGCATCGTCGCGCCAGCCGTCGCCGTCAGGCAGGAGTACCAAGAGCCCAAAGCGATCATGGCTACCACGACTGGCATGAACATCTGAGCTGAATCGCACTGATCTAGTCCCTTGCTGTATTTCTAGAGTCCATCTCACGTCCCATCTCGAACTTTTGCTATCTTATGATGTGCATAGTACTGTATATCTGTCTCACTTCAAACACGCTATCATTGACCGACGAGCTACGATGTCCGACTGTACCTGAGCAAAGCTTTGCTTCTGAATGTTGCGTTGTACTGCAAAAGATTGTTGATGTCTCGGACCCAGTCATCTTCCTTTCCCGGGCCAGCTCCTTCATGCTTTGTCGCCTCTTCCTTGGCTATGGAGGAGCGGTTGATGCATGGGACAGGATACGGAGAAGCGTTGACAGTCACAGACTCGCCGGGATTCAGCACGTGCGACGTCCGTCCGTCCATGGAAACACCTCCTGGCGCTCGACTTCGATCTCCGATCTACGAACAGCTCAGAAGGGGGCGAGTCAATTTGAAACGAACAGACCCTGAGTGTTATGGAAGACGACGATGGAAAGACGAGCGGTCGGAACGAGAGACTTCGAGGGCAGATTGGAGTGAGGACAAGCGCACTCAGCGAGGGATGTACGATTGGCCCACCAGCCGAGAGCGAGTATGCTGTGGATCCGGTAGGGGTGGATATGATTAGGCCGTCAGACTGAATTGAACATAAGTGGAGAGTTCGCCCGGGCGAGGGAGCACGCACGACTGCTTCGGTCAAATGCTGTCCGTCAACGAAGATGTCAATGGTGTTGAGATGGGGGCTGGATCCACGGTGGAGTGCAATCTCGTTCATGACCTGCCAGTCTACACGCAGATTAATACTCTTTGTATCTGACCGCAACACAGGATCGACGCACCGTTCCGCTCGCCCGCCTTCTCGGTGGAGTCAGGATTGTAGAACGTACAGGCCAGTCGCATTCTGTTCAATATGGTGGCCTTGCCCTGAAACACACTCTCCAAGGCCTCCGCGAAGTCGTCCATATCTGGAAGAAAGGATGCATATTGAGCTGACGCGATTCTAGCGGTCGAAAACACGCACGGAATGGAAGCAAGAATCCAAGCGTCCCCATGGAGAAGCTAAGAACTGGTGGAACAGCACCTTCGCTAAAGAGCGAGGACGCGTGAAGGATGGTCCCGTCCCCTCCAAGAGTCACGACCAGATCGATCGGTTCGGCATTGTAGTCTGATAATGGCATGAACATGCCTGACGAGAACATGGAGAACAAGATTTATGAACCTGGTTTCCAAACCTCGGCAGCATGTGGAATGTCATCACGGTCTTCGTGGAATACACGGACGTCGGGGTAGACTGAGTGAACATGCCTAGAATCGGCGTCATGAAAACTCGGCTTCCCTGTGACTGCAAGACGATGCTACGGACTCGAGGAACGCGTTAATGGCTAGTATAACCGGTTGTGTTCGCAGCTTATTGACAATGAGGATTGTTTTCGGTGGTCGCTGTAGTTGGAGTTGGCTCCGCCTTCCTTCCTCTCAAATTAATCTTGATGCAGCGCTCAAGAAAAACAGACGGACACTGAAGAAGATCTCGCGGTAGAGGAATTGAAGCGAACAAAGTTTAAACTCTGTCGTCGCGAACCGACATATCCACTAGCATGAGGACGAAAAGTCGGTTTTAGCGCGCGATGTAAACGCAGAACGGAGAGCATTGTCATCAAATCTGCGAAACCTTGTGACTCACAGCTGGTCACATGGGGCCTCCGGTTGGGTCTAGGGTGGAGATGAGGCTAACGACACTTGAAAGCAGAGGAGAATGGCATCAAATATAAGTGCTCACAAGTCGATAGCTTTCACGGGCAGTCGAGGGCATAGAGCTTCGTAGTGCGCTGACAGACGCGCATTCAATGACGACGGAGAGTGACAGCCGTTCTGCACGTGACCGTTCCCCTTCTTGTTGCGAACTTCCAACGGTATTGTGCGCGCAGGGTATGCAAGGAAGTCTCTGCTGCCGCCGATGCAACCACCTGAAACGAAGCGCGTAACGCGTTCTCGATTGCTTGCTCTTCCAGAACCTAATCTTTCTCTCGACCGCTCTCCGCTCAAGGAGGCACGTACGGCCCAGCGCAACTATCTCCTCCATCACCGACCTCAAACCCTTGTCCAGGAGGCTTCCGAGTCAGACGATGAACTGCTTCTGTCCCCGGGCAAGAAATATGCACTTCCTCGGCAAGTGGACTCCAATACAACACGGTCGACCTCGCCGCCACCGCAGGACGACTTCGGTATCACACCACCAGAGGTCTCTGGTGGACACGCCTCCAAGAATCACGATTTTGAGACAGGAGAGTTGGAGAGCAGGGATAGCATAGAGGTTAAGACGAGCGGGGCAGCACAGAACGAGAACCCGATCGCCAAATTCATCCCGACACATTCACGCAACCTCTCTGAACCGACCACCATGTCGTCGAATCCTTTCTCGACGGGCTCCTCTCCTAAGGCTAAGGGAAAGGATCGGGCACGCTCGGTTCCCGCCTTCCCCGTGATCGACTTAGAGAACGCACCTATCTCCCCCAGACGCAAGCGTGCGCGATCACGCTCCCCGACGAAAGAGCGCGACTCGCCCAAACTGCAGATACTTATCAAGACTATGCCGTCTATCCTGGACACCGACGAGATGCCACCGCCTGCGTCTTCCAGCACATCTCTATCGGACGGGCCGCCAGTAACTGCACTTCCCCTCATTGTTGAACCACCACCTTCGACTCCAGTTGCGAAAACTCGCCCAGCTACTATTTTCAATACCCCCATGTCCCCGTTGACACCAATACCCTCAACGCCCCCCGGGTTTCGTACACATGAGCATATTCCATCCGACCTTTCTCCGCATCCCAAGGGCTGGGATTTTGGATTTGAGGTGCGTGGCGGTTCTTTCAGACGTAAATCCTGAATCAAATCTCTTCCAAGACATCGAAGCCAATTGAGGGACTGCCAGATGTTCTGGATGCTGTACCTCCATACGTTACTCCCACTGCTCCAGCCGCTGAGGCTGTTGAAATCACCCCAGATCCTCCTACCAATGCAGCTATAGCGCGGGAAATAGCTCCATCGGACAAAGCAGGTTCTGTTCGTGTAACGCGAGCTGTGTCGCAGCAAAGTCGACTCCCTCGTCCAGGTTCATCACATTCCAATCACTCGAGCGGCACTTCCACACTGTTGCATACGAAGGCGATGAATCCTCCGCCTGTGCCGAAGAAGAACGCATTTGATGTCATGATGAAATCGACTGCAAGAACAGAGGCATCCAAGAGTAAGGGCAAAGGGAAAGAGAAAATGCCTCCCGGGTTATCAACCAGTTCCTCCAAACTCGCACCACCTCCGCCCGCGTTGACCCACTCAAAGGCGATTTCCAAACCTAGTCTCAACAAAGGCAAAGAGAAGGAGAAAGCTAAAGCGGGTGTGGGTTCCAGTGATAGCAAGAGATCGTCCATGAAAGCGAAAATGCGGCCTAGAGAGAAGCCTGCCCCTCTGCCACCACCTATCCAAGATCGCTTGCCGGAAGAAGCGGATGACCTGGTGTCGACAGAAGCTCTTGTGGTCACCGAGGAACGGCTCTCTGACAAAAGCAGCCCGCTGGCTCAGCCACCAGCCGACAAAGTGACTGCCCAGGAAGATGAAACCATCGACAATTCGGTTCCCAAGGTCAACTCAGAGCCGCGCTTTCCGGATGTTGACGGCGTAACACCTGGATCCTTTCCCTCGTCGTCGCTAGATGCCGTCTTATCTTCCGAAATTGAGCAGTCCGTCACGCCTCTTGAGGAAATTCCCGCAGCCGAGGTCGAAATGAAACCAGTGGAGACGCCAATTGCTGTTGATTTTGTGGAAGATGCTCCCATGGATGAATCTTTAGTCGCCGATTCTCCCGTCATCGAGGCTGTCGTTATCGAAGAGGCTTTCGCGCCAGTCGCCGATAATCTCGTGGATAGCCAGCCCACGGAAAACTCTCCCGTCGTTGAGAAGAACGTCGTTGAGGACATCGTCGTCGAGCGTGTCCTCGAGCATGTCCTCGCCAAGAACGATGACCTGGCCGTAGACAACGATTTCTCTATGTCGCAAGACCTTCCTGTGTCCCAAGATCTTTCTATACCGCAAGATCTTCCTACGGCGAAGGAGCGGCCGAGATCACGTACAGGTAAATCGAAAGCTCCAGCCACTACAGCCGATCGCGTCACTCGAAGTTCTGCTCTCAAACGCAAGGAGATTGATCCCGGTCGGTTCTGTTTCGAGCTCCATTTTTTCAAGTGCTCATCAGAATCATCAGTGACTACGCAGAGGACAGATAGGGACCATGCGACTGTCGAGAAGCCTGCGAAGAAACCTAAACTGTCGGAGAGTTCCACCGGTTCTTCGTCGTCATCGAAAGCCACTTTCGCATCGTCCAGCAAAGTGCCTTCATTCGCTAGTCCGACGAAAGCCAGTGCGGCGAAAGCGAAGCCAAAGCAGATCGAAACATCGTCGCCGACGAAAAGACTTGCAAAAGCGCCGACTTTCTTCCCCGTTGTTGGCCCTCCTGGTGTGTCTTCGTCTCCTATGTGGACACGATCTTGCTGAAAGTACCTTCAGCATTCGCTCGTTCCTTCACCGGTCCACCGGGAAAGCCCTCATCTTTACAAACACTTGCTTCAGCGTTGGAAAAGTTGAGAGCGCCTCCTCCCGAGCGACCCAACACAAGTCTTGGGTTCAGCAGAGACGAATTGGAGCCTGCAACGAAGCACAGCGTTCCGGCTGCAAGTATCGGACTTGGTCGACCGAGCCATGCACTGCAGCGAGCCTCGACCTTGGCGTCTCTTCCGTCTTCTTCCGCCGGGCCGTCGAGGCCGCGAGTGGGCCCGTCAGCAAAGCTTGCCGTGGGGAGCGGCTCGCTGATGCGCGGTCGACCGGGTATGTTTAACAGACCTGGTCCCAAGGTCAGCCGCAATCCCGGTCTGCCCAGTGTCATCGGTAGTCCTGTCAAAGGGGGATCGCTGGAGGAAGACAGCGCGACATTTGATCCGCCAGTCTCGCTTCCAACATCGTCAGCTGGGTCGATGGGACCGCCAGAGATACCCTCGACTGCGAGCACTCCTGCGGAAGCGATCACGGAAGTCGACGGCATGCGACGGAGCACCCGGATCGCGCAGAATACCCCTGCAGTCGACCTCCCCGAAGATTCACAGATGGAATCTGAGCCCCAGCTCACGGTTCTCAAAGGATGCATTGTCTTCGTTGATGTACGCTCAGAGTTGGGTGGGGACGATCTGAAAGATCATATTGCCTCCAAGCTGAAGGAACTCGGCGCTAGGGTGCGCTTTTCTTTTCTTGCTCCTGGCCGGCCATGCGCTGACAGCACATCAGGTTCTCGGGCAAGTTGGACAAACCTGCACCCACATCGTGTATAAGAACGGGCTGCCCAGTACCCTGTCGAGATTCAAGTAGCTATTTTCATCAGTTCGCAGTCGCAAGCTCACCACTCATCAGGCAACTGTCAGAGCCCAAACCATTTGTCGTTGGCATGGACTGGGTTTTCCGGTGCATCAACAGTCTCACACGGGAGGAGGAGCGACGCTTTCTAGTCGATATCGACGACATGAACTCCATTGCACCCAAGGTATGCGTGCTGCAGCCTTTTGATGGCTTGAGCTCACCGTTCGGTCCAGCGCCGTAAATCGATGCTCCCCCAGCTGACATTTGACCACATGGACGAGGGAAATGATGCGGATCGCTCGTTCGAGAGCTCATCTTGTACGTTGCTTCCTGTCTTTGGTCCAGTGAAGTTTTGACTGGGTAACAGCTATGGTTGACAATGAGCTCACACCACTGGAGCGAGCTAGGCTACGAAAAGCCGCAGCTGGTAATGGAGTCAAGCCCCATCGATGAGCTGCTTGTTCGCTGTATCATTAGGATCCAGCATAGTTGCATCCTTCAATTGTAATTGTGCCTAGTGATAGGCACGTGTACATGGCACGTGGTGAGAAATAATTATGTCAGCCGCGACTATAAAATCAATGCTCGCATTCAATCATCTTTGCAAGAGAGAAATGCCACGCTGACCGGTGTTAGGTTTCCGACCGTCGAGTCAGTGCCAGTGACCCCTTGGGGGTCCTGCTCTCTCAAGATACACTCAGTCTAGGAAGTGTCGTTTGACAATGACGAGGAAACGGCATGTCGATTTTTTACTGGCAAATGATTCTATCTTTTGTAGTGTGCAATGAACTTTTTGACTCTCGCGGTATAAAATAACATCGTACAGTGTACCTGAGGATGACAACGACAACTGCTTACTTACATACATACACGGTCAACGGTTACAATCTTCATGGGGTGTTCAAGCCAGAAGACCGAGCAAAGTAGCCGGTGTCTGCACTTTTCTCGACGTCGGCGACGAGCCACGGATCTCAAGCAATAGCGAGGCCGCCGACTCCTCTTCGGGTGTCCGATTCGACATAACGTGTGAGTGCGTTGCGACGGGGCCCAGGCTCAGGGCCGGCGGTTGCTGTGACGGTGCCCGGACAGCAGCGAACTGGGTGGACGACGGGGGCGACGGCAGATGCGACTGGAATACAGGGGAGGTGTGCGGGGATGCACGCGGCGGCTCTGGAAGCCAGGACGAGATGGAGGGCAGACGCGCGGACCTGTCGCCTGATGGGTACGATATCACCGGACTTGCATCGGGCGTCGGGCCTGCGATGGGCGTTCACGTTTAGTCGGCCGTTCTGTCGTTGCGACAGTACCAATGGAGGCGTCTGCCGAATGTTTGCGTTTCCGGCTGTTGGCCGCAGTTCTAGTGTCGCAGTTCGAGCAAGACGCCTGCTGAACGGCGTCCTCCAATTGGGCGACCCGCTGGACCAGGTCCTGCATATACGAGACTGTTCGCACTAAGATCT